AGTTTAAGAGTTAAGCATTAAATGCTGCTTTATAAGCATAAAAACCAACAAGTCAAGTATTTTTTAACAAAATCCCTTTACTAAAAGTGAAAATATAAAAAAAAAAAATTATAAATCAATTTCTGCAAAAAAAAAAAACTTTTAAAATGTAAAAATAAAAGTACCCAAAACGAAAATTTATCAAACTCAATTTTACTTGAATCGCTTCCAGACATATTTTTATAGCGCTTTTCGAATTTTAACAAATTACAACAAAAAAATAGTATGTAAATTAAAGCAATAATTAATTGATAAATAAATCAAAAGACTTTTTCAACTCTTAGCTTACATTTGCCTTTTAGACATAAGAATGCAAATCAAAGATTTACGCAACAAACTTAAAATCTAATAATAAAAATAAATCTAATCAAAGCCATTATAATAATTATAAGACAATTTAGTTTATTTTAAGCAATGCAAGAGTACTTAAAAAAAGAAAAATCAGTGAACAACAACATTGTGATATTAGTTGAGAACAAAATCAAATTACTTCCATGCTATTTCTATATCATTTGCAGACGCTATGCAAAGTTTTAATAATTAAGACAGGTTTTCAGAGTTTCTGGGCACAGTTTTGTATAGCGTCTATCAGGCTCGGTCAGCCGATCTTATAAGTTAGTTTCGCTTTTAAGGTGCAAGATTTTCCATATTATTGTTATGGTGCTATGTAAACTTGTGCTTAGCTAGATTAGGTTAATTCACAGACCTTTACTTTTGGTCTATATCGACAATCCTTAGCAGCCCAAAACAAAATCAAATACTTTACCATTACCACTTACTAGGAATCAATAAAATACTTACTTATAAGAAAGGAACCCCTCTTTATAACTAGATTCATTAATTTAATTATGCATGCCATCTCGTAAAATTTACACGAATTCAACTAAATAATGAATAACTATTGTACCATAAAAAAATTAGTTTTCTCCAGAAAAAAAAAATAATAATTGAATCTAGAATACTTTTCAAAGATTTTGAACCCGCAACTCCTAAAATAAATAATGAGAAAAAATAATAAAAATAAATAAAATTATGGAGCTGAAGTTTGTGGAATGCGAAAATAATGCAAATGCCTTTGGCCGCCGGTGTTTGCTTGAATGCAATCAGTGAAGATTATGGAGGGGCTGTGCTGTGGAGGAAGGGGGGGGGGGTGTACGGGTAAAAGGGTTGCAGAAATAATGCGCGTAATAACAAACTGCAGGCGTAACTGAAATGCCAGGCTACTGCGCATTTGTCCAGGCGATGGGCGATGGCGAAGGCGTTGGCCAAGACGGACGACGGGAGGCGCAACTGCGGTAATTACAATTGCCGCCGGACATGGACAGCAGTAGCAGCAAAAGCAATGGCAGTGGCAGTGGAAGTGGCAGGCAGCACAGCTGTGCCTCTTGCATCAACGCAACAGATCTCGGAGCATCTTCGCTCGCCCAACACAATTACATGCTGCCAAAGACGCATGCGCAGCAGCCACAGCAGTAGCAGCAGCAGCAGCTTCCTGACTGCATTTCGTTTTTACGTTTTTATTTGAGCAAATTGCTGGCAACTTTGCGCACTGTGACTGACTGAATGATAGACTCACTGACTGCTTGACTTTCAGACTTTCAGGTTGACTGAATGACTGACTGCCTGACAGTTGTTGCCGCTTGCTGCTGCTGCTGCTGCTGCTGTTGATGTTGCTGTTGGTTTCGCTCCAATTGCAATTTGTTGCTGCCCTGTTGCCTGTAAGAAAAAATATGCCAAAATTGCTACGTGCGGGCGTTTTGCACAAGAATCTCGGACCACGGAACACGGACCAGAGACCAGCCGGACAACGATAATGATGATTGCAGCTAAATTATGATGCCCCGATGCGAGTGCAGAGCGCAACAGCAGAGAAAGTGTAGCACTCACACAGTTCAACAGAAGCTGGCAGCAGCATCATCGGGCCACGGCCATTCGAAGGGACTTCAGCGGCTTTATTTAGCATAACTCGCATCGCCTTTGGGGCCGAGACAACAACAACAACAGCACAGAAATATAACAACAACAACAAGATTAGCAAAATGTAATAATTGCAAAGCAGTTTGCCGCAGGTGCGCCACCCGCCTTTGTCGAGGACCCGAACCTGCAACTTAACCGGCTGCCTCACAGAGATGAGCACGCCCGATAAAGAAGTAACAACAACTTTGCTTTTTTTTGTAGCAACATCCGATGCTGGCAACGTCGCGTATTTAATGCATTTGATCCTTGATGCTGTTGAAAATGAACTGAGCTCGAACATGCAATCAACTGGCGTCCCGCACGCTGCCGTCGCCCGCCATCAATATGGCCAATTTCATGAATGAAAACTTGCCCGAGAGTGTCTTGGACTTTTGCATGTTTCGCTTACAGAACCCGGAGAAACAACACGCACACCCACACAGACGATTGAAGTGTGTAAGGAGCGAGCTGTTGCTGCTGCGATGTTGCTGCTGTTGCTGATGTTGCTGGTAACATTATGAGTCTTGGCGACGTTTGTTGCAGCTGTAGCGCATTAACCTCGTTCACTGCTGCTGCTGCTGCTGCCGCTGCAAAATATTTACCAAAGTGATTAAGATGCCTGAGTAATTTTTAACACAATTACGCTGCCAAGCAGACGACGGCAGTCAGTAGTCAGCAGTCAGCAGTCGGCAGTCCCGGGCCTGCAATTGTGAGCTGCTGCTGCTGCCTGCCTGCCCCGTTGAATAGCTACTGTAGTTACACTGGCTCGGCGTCAGTTGCAGCTGCATTGCTGCTAATGACCAGGCCGAGCCAACAGCACAGCCGGTCGCAATATAAACTGTGGCATTGTCTGACTACCCGACTCCAACCCCAACTCGAGCCGCCAGCTCCAGCCACCGCTCGGAGCAAGTGCCATCGGCATCAGCATCACGCGGACACCCGAACTTTTGTATGCCTTGGCCATTAGCGTTTCCACACTACGCTGACTTTAATCGTAGCGCAGCGGCGACAGGCGGTTGCGGGTGTTTTACGCATCAGTGTTTTTTGACAGCTTCTTCTCAGCACAGCGAAGCCAATATAAAACTAAAAATAATATACAAAAACTTAACGTTTTGTTGTGATTTATTGTATATGCGATTTTTGGCAGGTGTTGAGCCGGCCTGATCATCAGCTGCCGTTGCTGTTGTTGTTGTTGTTGTTGCCGCAAAAACTCATTGCAACGTGCGGCACATTTGACGCTCATTGCCTGCCCCATTCGAACACAACAACGCACGACAAGGCAACAAAAACTTATAACGCACCAGCTGAAAAAGCAAAAATCGTGATGCGTTTGGTTTAGATTTGAGCGGCACGACTTTGCTGGCGTTAGCAGCATTAACAATGTTGCCACAAGCGACGAAGTTGTTGTTTTTACCATGGGCCAATGCGATGTGTTGACAAAGAGCAGAGTTCGCGATTTGCGAATTTGTTGGCCATTTGTTACCAATATTTATACGTATACACTAGAATGGGTTACTGCGACTTCACATTTTGGTTTGATAGTGCCAAAGTGCTAGTGGGAGTACAAAACAATGTATAATTCATCCTAGCTTGGAAAATGTATAGTAATTTCCACCCACAAATGTGGAACATGAGATGGAAATAGGTGCTATGCACAGCAGTCTTTTCTTAAGCTTTCAATCAGTGTCAAGCTCAAAGCTCTTTACGAATATTGTGTTATTAACTCGTCACTTTCTAAAATACATTATGAATACATAATTCAACAGCTTTGATTCACTCTCATGGTTGGAAAAGGCGTGGAAAACTGTTGTATTTAACCATGTTCTTTGTTTTTCATCCGATCAGCTTATAGCTCATTTTAAGAATATCGTTAAGGGCGTGATTTGTACGTTCCGGTAAATCCACTCTCCTGGATGGAAAAGAGATATCTCGAAATCGATGAAAAAAACGTTGTCTGTGCATCGCCGGGTACTACCGGCTGATGACAATTTTCATTTTATCACTTTGCATACTATGTTTCTCACATAGGGCATTTAGGCATCTGCTAACCAAACTTGGATTTATCTTTTACATGATGCTATGACAAAATCGAAGCTGTCTTGGCTTAATCCCAATTTCCCTTCCCATTGTAGCTGACCAATGAAAATGAAAATGAGCGCGGCACGCGCTTAGACGCCGCACGACTAGAAAATTGCAGTGGCGGAGCGGTGTTCGCTTGGCTGAACCCGAAGCGACAGGGGGAATGGGAATAGTTACCGGAACGCGCACGGGCAGGAGAATGGAAAAGGAGTGTGAGTTTTGCTGCTGTGGCAGCCACGTGTTGCGCATGCGCTTTTGCCCCTAGACATGCAGTTGGACACGACGCGACGCCCCAAGCCTCAGCATTTGCGTTTGTCAGGGTCGACTGCATCGCGTTGGCTTCGTGCTTGGCACTTTGCAATTGTTCAGTAGTTCGCTCAGTTGTGCTGTTGTGCTGCAAGTGGCACGTTGCACGAAGCAACGCTTCGGCGTGAGGCAGAAGCAGCAGCAACTGCAACACCTTCACTCTCTGCGGTTGAGGCGATAGTGCGATGATGTATGGCCTGAACCTGCAACGCTTGTGCCTCTTCTTCTGCCACTGCCGCTGCCACTGCCCCTGCTCCTGATCCAGTCACTGCCAGTGCCCCAACCTCGACTGCTGCCTACTATTGTAGGCGTCAACTCACGTTTATGCTTTGTAGACATTATCGCGCCTGTTTATCTTTAAATTGCAAGTAAATTACGTTGGCTCGCGCAGCTTGATGTATTATGCTGCCTTGTTGAGTGGCCAGTGAGTGATTTGATGAGCCGAGGAATGGCAGTGGGAACTTGGGGGAGGGCCAGAGCGGCAGAGGGGCACAGGGGCAGAGGAAGCGAAATGGACACAGAGATCTTTCAAAAAACAACCCGTTTATTCGAGCACTACAAACTAAACGTTGTGCGTAATAAATTAGCTATGAAAGCGTCGTCATGCAGTTGGATAAGTGTAAGCGTGTGTGTGTAATGTGGTGTATTGGTGTTTTGGGGGAAATCTCTCAGTAATGCGTCTCGGTGATTCTCACTTTGCCGTATTTGCCGTGCAAATGATGCTTGGCAAAGGACAGCAGATTGGCATGGCTGTGTACGTCCAAGTGGGCTGGGAAGGCGGCCTTGTGCACCACAGCAGCATGGGTGTGATGGTGGTGCACCAGCGGAGCCGAATGATGATGGTGCACCAATGGAGCCGAGTGGTGGGCATAATGATGCAAGTCAGCGTGGGCATGAGCATGCTCATCGATGTGTGCGTGGGTGTTGTGAATGATGTGATGATCGACCACAGGATTTCTATAGTGCAGGAAGTGGTGTGGCTCATCATGCACCACCTTGTGCACATGGTGCACTGGCTCCACTTCATGAATGGGCTCATGGCTGACAATCTTGGCCGGGGCATGCACATGAGCGTGATGCACATGGTCATGAGCGTGCACATCGTGATCCAAATGGGCAGAGTAGCCGTCATGATGGTAAACGGGATGCGGCACTGCGTCCAAATGGTGATCGGCACCATCGATCACAAGAGCGGAGCTGTGGCCCAAGTGAATGCCGTTCGAGTGATGCACCTCAGAGTCGACAAAGTGCGGCAGCTCCTCGTGATGATGATCGTGCTCCAGATGCGGCAGCAAACCCGCCTGAGCCACTCCCAGCAAGGCCAAAGTGCAGATAAAGAACTAAGGAAAACTTCAACAGTTACAAGAAACTGGCAAACTCGAGTTTTTTGCCTCGGACCCACCTTCATTACGGAGATTTCACACTTAATTTGAGTTTATCCAAAAGTAAAGGTTGACGGTGCGCCTGAGACTTGTTTGCTCTGCTGTTGTCGATGAACTGTGCTCTGATCCGTTGGAGCCCACGCATTTTATAGCACTGAAAGACACTTGCCACTGTTGGCCAATATCACGTGCAGCCTGGCAGCTGGGTCGGCCGGGCTGGTCACTCGCCCCAGCCATTCAACGTTATCAAAATAGCCAAGCAATGAAAGTGATGTGTGCCGGGCCAACCAAGTGGGCGGCGTGCCTGGAATTTCTAATGAACTTTGTCGTCACATTTCAAAGGCACTCACATAGCCCAGCTCATTATGTAAAGAGCGTCATGTAGTCAATAAACCATTTCCAGATGGTTAAGTCGCACTGGCACTCGTCCGGTCATGTCATAATTTGATGGCCCAATAGGCCTCACCTAGCTTGGGGTTACACCATTTTGGGCAACTGCTGGCAAGGCCATTGCCCACCCACATTCATTTTATTTCCCCTTGCACTTGCAATGCATTTCGCAACCCATTTGGCAATCTTTGGCCAGTGAAAGCATTAGCCGCTGACCAACATACAACATTTTATAATGGCCAAAAAACAAAAATCAATTCACACAATTTGCATTGGGCATACAAAATTCATAGCGACTACGTGCGGAATTCGCCAACGTGTTCACGGCTTGCCAACATCAGTTTATTTATATTGGCACAATAGTGCTAAAAATAATACTAACAGGTAGTGGGTGTTATCATTCGTGACTTACCAAAAATTCACGCACTGCCAACTGTTTATTGAGTGCTGCAAACAAAAGAAACATAAATAAGTTTAGATATAAACAAGAAAGAACGATCTTCGGCAGGCCGAACTTTAAATGCCCTTGCTGTTTATTCCGGCCGATTCTTCCTTTAGGAGCCATATGATATATTATTCCGATTTTATACGGCTAAAGAACGCGAAGTTTGTATTTTTTGAGTTGGTGAAACTTTTTTTACCGAATTTTCTCATAAGGCTAAGTGATATTGTAATTCAGGTATGAAAAGTATTGGCTTATATGACAAGTTCAAAATACCATGCAAAACAAAAATGATTTTCATATAAGAACTTAATATTTAACCTGTTGTTTCCATAGCAACTATATGAAATCTTATCTGTTCTCTGACCTATGAAAAGATTCCTGAGGATCGCCTTTAAGCTGAAAGATTCATTTGCATAGAGGCAGGACAAACTTAGATTCGGCTATTGATACTGATTAAGAATATATATAATCTTTAAAGTAATCTTCTTAATCTCCTCTACAATGATAAAAATAAAACAGGGTTAAAGTATGAAGGAGTTTGTGGTCGAATGCTTTTTAAAGTAATATCTTCATCCAATAAATATCGCATAATTGGTTAAATTAGTATCCGTATCTGAGCACATGTAGTACACATTCATCAATTCAATTGCATTTCCTGTCTAGACGACGTGCCGTCAACACGTTCCATAAATTATGAAAAACTTAAAGCAGTTACCTGGCAGAGCTGCAGAGTGCAACCGCCAAGATAAGCTGCCTGTAAAGTGGGTCAGCCTACGGCTAATTACATAATAATTTGGTCAATTTAATCACGTTGCTAATGAGCCCCGTTGTATGCAAGGCGGCTACCGAGGGGGAGGGACAAACTATCGCAACTATCGTTTTGGGCGGCGGCGTCAACACCCCGAAAAACTAGAGACATACGTGCACCACATGCACAATGTGCCCCAAAGTGGAACTTAAAAAGCGGCGAACGACTTAAAATGCCCACCAGGTGCCCACGCGACGCGTTGTCGTCGACCTGTCCAATGATTTGAGTGCGAATTTGTTTTGGTTTCGATAGAAGCGCAAACGCAATTTGTACGCCTGACAAATATTTGAACATTTCCAATGAATTTTGCGTACGAATTTGACAATTCTTGGCGCTGCCTTTTGGTCTTTTGGAATTGCCAGTTCCTGTCTGTTTGTCAGTCTCTCCGCGTGTCTTACACACCTGCCCCAACAGCCAATTAGCCACAAAAGTATCTCGTGGCATGCAGCAAGCTTGCAATTCGCAGTTTTGCAGCTCACATCTCAAGGGGCGGGCGGTGCAGCACTTGTAATTAGACGGGGCAACAACAACCATAACAACAACAACAACAACAGCAGCAACAACGTTGACGGCGACTTATTTCAATATGCAAATTATTGCTAGACTAGCACAGAAAAAAATGTAAAAAAAGCAGCGACGGCCAGCTGCAGCAGAAGGAGACAGCCACAGACTACACAGACAAAAAGGTGCACGACCAAAAAAAAAAAGGGAAAAAACAATGCAAAAAAGAAAATCTATAATTTATTTGCACAAAAATGACGGCAAAATAGTCGGCGGCGAGGGTGGTGGTGCTGATGATGGTGCATGTTTGTAATTGAGTGCATCGTTAGTGGGGCAACAGCAGCGGGCAGGAGGTGGGAGTGAGCTGTATTAGCGACGCTGCCAACAACTAATTTAATGCCAGCGGCAACAGCAACCAACAGCAGCAGCAGCACCAACTGCAGCAGCAGCAACAACAGAGACGGCAACATGTCAACAGCAACGCCTGCCGCCAGCACGGGGCAGCGAGGATGATCCAAATGAACGGGGGCCCAGGAGGGAGCGGAGGACAGGGTTGCACTGTGTGCATATTTTATGCCTGCGGCTCTAGTGCTGCGGTGTCCGTTGTGGGCAGCTCTGAATATGCGGCTGAAATAATTTTGCATCACATATTTTGTCGACCACAAATCAACGGCATGAGATATTTGATGGTAATTAATATTGTAAGTATAACTTATTATGCTTTTGAATAAATGGGTGTGCTGCATTTAATGGCTCGTGGCTCTATATGCAAATTACGAAGTGTCATGGAAAAGTGCAAAATGAGTAAAGTGTTCAAAATGTACGCGTTGGACTATTATAAATTTTTGATGTTTTGCATTTTTTTGTTTTAAATTTTTTATTTGTTAGTTGGTTTAATTCGCGCTATGAGACTTTCTATGGAAACCGACTATAAAATAGAAGACAGAAAGGATCTTAATTATTGTAAATAGTCGACACAGTCTGCCAAAAATGATTTATTATAGAGATCTGAGCGAAAAGAATTGAGAAATCACAAGAATTTCTAAAAACATCAGAGAGCGAGAGAGAGGGAGTGTATATAGAGAGGGAAGATAAAATATATAATATTAGGGAGAAATATATATGAATTCAAAGTGTGTGGCAATTTTGCCTGGCTGGCGGTCGAATAACAATATTAAGAAATCGATAAAACGATTTATAATTGAATTTTAAGAAATGTTACTTAACATATTTTTAGATTTCATTCTACTCCCAAATAAAAGAAATCCGATATAAATATAAAACTGTTTGTCCTGACTGACTGACCATAATTGTTCACTCCCATAACACGGTCAAAACTCAACCGATACTTATAAGGTTTGGTTTTTTGTGCATGGCTTGGCCTCTAGATCAATTTGGCATCTAAATCTGGCGACATTATTTTTCAATATTATATATTGAAAAATTCTAGAATCAGCAATATATGAGTAGTTGACTTGAATACAACTCTTAATCCCTGCAGTATTGACTCGCAATTCAATATTAATTTCAAAATCAATTTTATTCCTTTTGGCATGGACAACAATCAATTGGCAGTTTCTACCTTGTGCGCTGCCATGATTACTCCATGTTGGCCTTTGGCTAACTGGGAATCTTATCAACGGTAGCTGCTACAGCTGCTCCATGCACAGGTGTTTTTGGCCACTGTTCCAATTTGCAGCTCATATTGTTTTCGATTTCTCATCACACGATTTTTAATCATTAAACCGCGTGCAGGAGTTCGGGAGTTCGGGTCGGGGAGCATGCAGGATGAGCACAGAATCACATGTGCGGCCGGCTCTTCCCCCTACTAAAAACAAATTGCTTGGCAGTAGTAGCACAAGTAGTAGGCCAGAGCCCATATCCAGCCTGGTATTATTGCATTTTCGCCAGGTAATGAAGTTCAGCAAAAAGTTAATCGGAAAAGCAAGGCCCCGCAACTAAATAGACAAATGATACGGAACGGAAGCTGCCAGCCAGTTGGCCAATTGTGCGGTGGGTTTTGCTTGCACATTAGCGGCTATAAATTGTCTTAATGCACACACACACATACACACTCGCAAGCGCACATATACACTGATAGAGTGCAGCGCGATCGGGGCCAGGCAGACACCTTGAACGGCGGCAAAGATCAGACCCAGAGGCTGAGACTGCAACTCAGAGCTCATCGGCAACGCGTCGCACCGCGTCGTCGTGTGATTTTGCAAACTGTGGCAGCAGTTCGAGTCCAGGTTCGGCATTCAGATCTTCATACATGATCATGCATATAGCGAGGCGCGCGTTGTGTATCTGCGTGCCTGTCTACCCTCCGCAAGTGTATCTGCATCTGTAGCTGTGGGCCTGGTGTTGCATAAGCTGCTGCCGCTGCTGCTGCTGCTGCTGCTGCTGCATGACCAATCGCTGTAAGATTGTGAAAATTGTAACGCTCGATTGAGAGCTCAAAGTTGCAGTTGTTGTTGTTGTTGTTGTTTTTGCTGCTGTTGCTGCTGTTGCTGTTGTTAATAATATTGCACAAAGGCAACTTTGCGAAAGTTCGTCAGCAGCAACAGCAGCAGCATCAGCAGAACAATGGCTCAGACTCAATTCAACCCTGTTTTAGTTGTTGTTGTTGGATGTTCTTGTGGCCATTGTCAGTTGATTTCATCTGAAATAGAAAGCATGCAATTTTCATGCCACGCTGTGGCGTCGATAGCGGCAGCAATTGATCTGCCGATCTGCGGATCGATTGAAGGAGTTATTACACACGAACAAAGCAGCAGCAGCAGCAGCAGGAGGAGAACCATTGACCATTGGAGTCCATGGCAGCTATTGCTCTATTAGTGTTTGGGCAACGGATCGTATGATGTGGCATAATGATTTTGCGGAATTCCAAATGGACCGTAGGACAGGTGCTAATTTCATAGAACGGCCAATTGAAATGCCTGGCCAAGAGCTTCACAGGCCGCCGACAATGCCATCGACAAGTGCGTGGCTAAAACTAACTTTAAATTACACTAAACAACTGGAAAAAAAATATCTTACACCTGATTAGGATCTAATTTAATAAACTGTGTTTTCTAGAATTTCAAATAGTAATTTTTAGTAGAAAAGTCAAGTAGATAGTGAAGCCGAGGCTGATTTTAGTTCGTTTAAGAAGCATATCGTATCAAAGGATACGTGGTTACATGCATTTGAAAAGATTCTAGATTCTCAACCAAATTTCATAAACAAAGCAGGACTTGAAATATTTTAAAACAATCAAGGCGATTTTTTTGCATAGAATTCATTTCGATAATGTAATTTGCAGTATTCCAGCCCGATCCCAACTATGTTACAGAGTGTAATCTTATGAGCAATTGGCAAATCGAACCAACCAATTGGCCAATTGACTGCATCTTCGGGTTCGGATAGCGGCTCGTTTCGGCATCCGCATTGACAAAGCGGCGTTTAATTGCCTGAATGAAAGTCTGGCTCGATTTTCGAGTAGCCGACCGGAATTGCTGTCAGCTAGTTGTAGACTGGGCAGCCAATCCTTATCGGCATTCCCACGCACAGGCACAGGCACAGGCAGTGACAGGTAGCCGGTGCCTGTTGCCACCATGAAAACTCATAAAATGTGGCCCTAAGCAAAAGGATTCTTAATGCATGTGATAAGGATGCGCACAGAGGCTGTGCGAATGCCACATCCCAACTCCGAATGACCATTTTATGTCGGCACATAAATTAGTCGAGGTCTGAAGGCAGGTCGTGAATGAAATCGATTGAAATTGATTGAGTTTAACTGTAAATGCATTTTTAAGCGTATGTTTTGCTGTGTTTTGTTCGAGATACGAGAGTCGGCGTCGCTGCCGCCGCCGCCGCCGCTTCTTATCAAAGCCAAAATATCTAAGTGGCTTTGTAGTTCGTTTGTATGGCTACAGGGGCACAGAGCATAGAGCGGGAACAGTGGAACATTGGAACAGTGGAGTGAGGCTCTTTTATGGTCTCCGACCGCCTCGACTGCATGCATTTATGCATATCGATGCCGAGGCTTGTAAATCTGTGCGTATGCCATTAATTTTTTTCTTCGGCTGTTTCGGTTTTTCAGATTTTTTATTTACTTTATATACATATTTTTTTTTTTTAGCTCCATCAACAACAGCCACAAAATCTTGTAAAACTGTAATTTTAAATTAATAGCCGCGTATTACAAGCAGTTTATATGCGCAGGCGTAGGAGGCGGAGGAAACTCCTCGCGTCTCTGACTTGGCTTTATCAAGCGAAGCTGGGCCCCATGAAGGTGTTGAAATCAACAGCTAGTCCAAACTCTATAAGAATTTATAGCGGAATTATGTGACAGCCTTTGCCGCTGTCATTCTCATTGTTGTTGTTGCTGTTGTTGTTGTTGTTGTCGGCTAGCGGGTGTTCAACAATAACAATGCGTTAGTCGATAGCCAAGCTACGAGCCTCAGACTCCGTCTACGTCTCGGCCTCCATCTCCATCTCCGCCTCAGTTACTTGTCTCCGGTTTCGAGCGTTTCTTACGGCATTTCATTTCAACGCATTTCATTTCATTCCATTCGATTTGATTTCTTTTCTTTAGTTGCCTTTGGGGGGCTTCAAAGAGAAGCTGTCGCTCTTTAATTTTCACCTTTGCCCGCGCTAGCCGCAGAAGGCTTTAACTAATTTATGCAAATGTATATTTAATCGTCGTTGACAGTTAAGGCGGGCGCTAAAGAACACAAAAGGCGCATCAGCAACCTCAGAGTATCGACAGCAGCAGCAGCAGCAGCAACAGCAACAGCAACAGCATCGTCAGCAACATAGAGCAGTAACATCAGCAACTTTGCTGCTGTTGCTGTTGTAGATCGTGAGCTCTTTTGTGCGATGATAGATGTTTACGAGGCGGCAACACCCACCGTAGATGGTACTCGAAGATGGCGCTGATGTGGCCGGTGCAAATTTGTTGATGGCGCATGTTGTGCATTTCAAAAAGTTCGCTCCACAGTGGAAGCTTTCTGGATGCAGTCATGTCGAGTGTCGCCTCTAAAGCTCAGAGCGATGAGTTAATGGCACAGCATGTAAAAAAACTAAAAAAGAACTCGCATTTTTCTGGTATTAGTGAGCTTTGCGTATGCTTAAACGCTGGCACATGGAAATACACTAACACCCAGGCATATTTGGAATACGTGTGTCAAGTAGTTGAGTCAAAGAATTTTGTGTTAAATGATGTATATCACATGCTAATGAACTGGAATTTTAAATGGCAATTTAGCCTCGTAAAGAAAGTCCTTTGAGTTCGACAATTGCATTTTCATTACAATTTCAATAGGTGGTTATATGGGCATTTATCATCACATTTTAATGAAGCTGTAAATTTTTTCACTGATTGCTGCCAAATTACAATTAAATGCCGAACATAAATCTTTTGTAGAGTCGCTGGCCGAAGAGGCCGTCTATTTGCCTGGCCAGCGTCCCTTTAGGGCGCCAGGAATTGATTATAAGCAAAATATGCCCCAACACATGCGCATTAAAACTGAAATTACTACCTGAATTCCGCAAGCGCATAAAACAAAGCCATCGACATGGACCTCAGCACGGCTACCAAAATGTAACTGAGTTTGTATGCTAGTCATGTTTATAAAGCAAATCATAGACAAAAGCCAACTAGCTTAACGGGCGCCATAAAAGAGATGCTAAGATCTCTGTGCCGCTTGCCGCTTGCCGGTTGCCGCTTGAATGGCCGCAAGTGTCGTGGACAGGATGCAGCACGCGCTGTGCTCCACGACTTGCACACGGGAGGGGCTCCAGCTCCAGCTCCAGCTCCAGCCAGAATGGAAAGGGGTCTGTGCGGCCGGCCACTCGCTAAATATCAATAACATTTTTATTTATTTTGTTTGCGGGCATTTTGGCATTTTTGAGTGCATTTATTTTAACGTCCTATACCGAACGTTTTGTAAAACGTTTTGTCTGGTCCCGTACTTGTTGCTGTTGCTGTTGTTGTTCCCCCAGTTGCTGTTACGTTCGAGTGCACGCCGAGATTTGCAGTAGCCATTGGCCCATTGGCATGTCGCGTGCAACTGCAGCTGCACTTGTCTTGGGCTCCATACCGAGCCGTGCCACAGCCAAACACTACTCTCCTGGCAACAATAAATAATAAACCTTTTGTGGATTTTGGTCTTGATGGCGGTGGCGTTGGCCTGGCTACCGATCGGCCAAGATCAAAGTCCAATTGCCGCCATTGTTTGCAGGCTGGAAAAAATAAAATTCGACCAAGCCGGCGATCGGGTGAGCAAATAAAAATGTCTATAAAGGAGCCTGGTCGAACACTTGGAAAGTTGCTGTGGCTTATTGTTAGACAAGTGCTAAATGCGGCATTATATTAAATTTTAATTAAAAAGGGAAAATCGAGCGGAAGTTGACCCACAACAACAGCAGCAGCAGCAGCAACAACAACAACAACGCTGGTAACAAGTAGGCATAAAAGTGAGACGGACAAGAAAAACCGGTGGCAATAATTTTAATGCCGCTAAGAGGCAAAGTACGGCCGGACAAACGGACGAGCGCACGGACAGTGGCGGCATCGTAAACTTCTTAAAACATATTTTATGAGCAGCAACAACAGCAGCCAGAAAATACGAAAAACGCTGCACGTTGACAAATTTCGAGGCCCGAAAGAGGTCGGTCGGGTCGCTTGGTAGGCGCCCAAAAGGAAAAGCAGCCTCATAAACGATGGCGATTTAATTTAACGATTGTCATACTCATACTTAAAGCGAAAGGGTAAGACCAACAACAACAACAACAACAACGAAAAAACAGTTGAATGTGTTTGGTCGAGTTTCGGATGAGTTAACTGGAACTGCCAGTGAGAGCCATGGCCATCCATGGCAGCCGGAGGAAGCCACCCACATAAAACAACAAATGCTGGGCCATTGTCTCAGGCGCTGAAATTCAGTTGAAAAAATCTCATAAGACCCCAAAAAAAGGCAGAACAAATAAGAATGCCTTTCAGCTTAGTAATCGACTTTGTCATACTCTGTAAAAAGTGTTGGAAATCTCTAGCCAAATAATTTTCATTTTGCCCAGGATACATATGAAGTCCCCCTATCTGACTCTTCTGACAATTTTCAGTCATTGATTGATTCTTTTTAAATTTGATATTCTGTGAGACATTCTTTTCTGACTACATCGTGTTGTCACATTGGCAATATGCTCCGATTGCAGGGTATTAACTGAAAAGCTACACTGAGATACATAAAATTGTATTGAAAAGCCCTAAAACGAAAGCGGTCTCCGATTCGACTGTTCGCTGAGCACCCAAAACGACATGGCCCCAGTTGGGGGAAGAAGAAGCAGAGCTACAGAGGCACAGATCAACAACGTTGATCACGCGCATGCGACGACATTCAATGTGATTTCGTTTGAAGCGCCGC